TAAGAATCCATCTTAATGATAATATACTTCATGTAATGTATTTCAGAGTAAGCAAATATCAGAAATTACTTCAAATCACCACACAGTACTTAGCGTAATACTAGATTTGAAGATTGTGGTTTGCTTCTTAAAACTCTTAAGAAACCAAGTTAAAACTAAGGAAAAAACAATGACTTGAAGTTAGCCTTCTTGTGATGTTTGTATTTTTAATATCAAATATTTAAATATCTTTGCTTTCCTAGTAATAAAGACAAATTTAATCTTCAAACTAAAATTAAAGAATATATTTATTGAGTAATTATAAATATTATTTTCTTTAGTTTTAACAAATATAAATACCAGACTATTATATACTAACAGTAGCTGGTTTATAGTACTTATTTTAATAAATACAGATGATAGAGTATTATAAATTGATCATAGCTGATTATTGTATTCGATTTAGTAATATCAAAAATTTAACTTATTAATGTATTGGTAGAACTGCAGTGATTAAATTGAACTAAATTTTAATATATTTATTATGTTTCAGTCCAAATAAAATATCGGTTAAATTCTATTAATTAAAATAATCACAACAGATTAAAAATTCAATATATTTGTTTGAACAAAAAAAGTATAAAGGCTAGAGAGTATGAGTTTATAACGCTCTATTAAATAAATTTTTTATACATGAGTATTATTCTCGTTTTACTGGTTAATATGCAATTTACTTTTTTATTTTTTTAAAAATTAAATAAATGTCTCTTATGCTTATGTGATGTTACTTGTCAGAATATATATTGTTTATAATAAAAATTTTTAAATTTTGAATATATCAATATAGTATAATTTTATGAAATTATTTAATCAATACTTTTATAACTATAAATTATTATAGAAGTTGGAATGTTGATTTATAAATATTCATTCGGATATCCGACCCGACCCACAATTTGTCCCCTTCGATTCTTCCTTAAACCCTGAAGAACAACCCGAAAACAAACCCCACAAACACAGCCATGACAATCCACTCGGCCGTGATCCAGAAGCTCCTCAGCACGAACGCCCACCTGGGTCGGCGCGTGGCCGAGCACCATTTCAAGGTCTTCACTTATGGCCTCCGCAACGGCCAGACCATCATTGACTCTGACAAGACACTCATATGCCTGAGAAACGCCTGCCACTTCATCTCCCTCCTCGCTCGCCAGAAAGCCAATCTCCTCTTCGTCAACACTAATCCACTCTTCGACGAGATCATCGAGCAGATGTCCCGCAAGATCGGCATCTACAAACCCGACCACGCCAAGCTCTGGCGCATGGGCGGTTTTCTCACAAATAGTTTTAGCCCTAAGAAGTTTCGATCTCGGAACAAGAAGATCTGCTTCGGACCGACTTCGTTACCTGACTGCGTTGTCGTGTTGGACACTGAGAGGAAGTCTTCGGTAGTGTTTGAGGCTGATCACATGCAGATTCCTGTTGTTGCACTCGTTGATTCGAGTATGCCGTGGGAGTTGTATAAGAGGATTACTTACCCTGTTCCGGCTAATGACTCTGTCCAGTTTGTGTATCTGTTTTGTAACATGATAACGAAGAGTTTTTTGCTGGAGCAGAAACGTTTGGGGATTGTCGGAGGGGAGGAACTCGAGGAGAAGATGATTGAGGGAAAGGAGCAATAAGACGGGTAATGCTGAATCCTTCCGAATTAGGGGAACTTTTATTTTTTTGGTGTCGAGTTGCAGGAAGTTCTTTTTGCAAACTATTAGCTGTGCGGCAGGGGTTTCCATGGCAGAATGTATGTTCTTTGTATTTGTTCTTAGATTGGGAAATGGGTATGAAGTTTTGGGCATAAATAAACTGTTTTCTCACCAATTTTGTGGTTTTTCTTTGTTGAGAGTACATGTCTATTAGATAGCAGCTAACCTTGTTTGGTTGGGCGGAAGAAGAGAGAAAAGGAACTGAAGAGATTGAGGATTTTGATAATCACAACAAAATAGTAATAATATTAATTGGAATAGAGGAAAAATAAGTAATTTCCTGCACTCTAATCTTTCCCTCTTTTTCTCCCATTCGACCCTATTTTCCCACATTTGTTAAAAATCATCTCATGGGTAATTAGACATTATACACTTTGGAGATTTTATCCAAACGATACTGATGAATAGCTGTAGTAGTTCTTAATAGTAGAAGACAGGGAAAGGTAGATCCTTTTTCTCTGGTCATTTCTGTTCAAAATTTTTTCTTTTTTCTTTGAACTTCACGTCTGTTAATAAATTAACTAAAACACTTAATTTTTCAGTAACTTTGCCCCTTTGTTGTACCATCAATGAAATTGAAGATATGGGGAAAGGATGTGAGTTTAATGGTCTCTACTATTTTGATCCCATTGCCTTATTCAGACTGCTTGTTAGGCCTAACTTTTATCATTACTAATTCAATGTCATCTTGGTCATTTTACCTTGAAGAAGTTGAAGATTCTTGTCCTCAACTACATATCTTTCGAAGCGTGCGAGTCTTCTCAATTGCAAAAACATGACATTCTTTTTGCTTCTGCAATGAATAATCAACTATAGGTTCATTATGGTGGTTGTGTTAATTCTAAGTTAGAACATCAAAATTTTGTTGTATTTGTGGATGTTTTTTCCTTTATGTGAGACTAAAACACAGATTAATTTATGTAGTTATAATATTCAGTTATGCTTTTTGACATCTTTCAGCAGTTTTGTGCTTTAGCTCTACCACTATCTGTCAATCAGATCAACTTTTCCTATACGACAGAATTGAATGGTTGCAAGAGAGGGATACATCTGATTGATATTGCCTGCTCTCCTCACTTCAAATTAATCTATTTGTAACACTTTTTGGAATGATGCAAAGTGCTCAAAGATTTTCTCCTGGAGATTTTTCCCTCGACCCTTTATTTATCTGCATCATAACAAGTCATACAAAATGACAACAGTGAGAGGGGAAGACAGAGAGAGAGAGAGAGATAGGCACATCAGATATATGTAATGATTTTTCTTTATACATATGGATTTACTTTATGCACAATAGATTTCAATTATCACAAATGTGTATCAAGTTAACTGTATATATAGAGGAGGCACTTAAGAGGACGGAAGGCATAGGGGGGAGAGAGAGAGAGGGATTTATGTAGCAAGATGGAGAGAGAGGTAGGGAGGAGGGGTTAGAGAGAGAGAGAGAGAGAAAGAGAGACAGAGATATAAAGCTACTTAAGAAGATGGGATGCGTGGGAACCTTAGCCCCCTGTTGTTAAGTGGTTGACCAAGTTCAGAAGTTAAAAGCCAAAAGTTCTGTGTTTTTGTGAAATTGTTAAGTCTGAACCTGCAATTCTAGTCATTAGAATCCTGAAATTTACCTGTCTATTTAAAGAATCAACCATTTTATTGTCTATTTAAAGAATCAACCATTTTAGTATTTTCACTCTGGTTGATGCTCTAGGAAGAAGTTGTGTTCATTGCTTGATTAGAAAAATGCATTAACTGAATCTCTATTGACTTACTGGCTTTAGGAATAGTTCCTTCAATACAACTTGTTTTTTTTTTTAGAGAAAACCACTTACAACTATATAAGGGGATGGGATTTTCACAGTGGTATTGTCTTGATTTTGAATCTTGTGCCTCCTTAATTTTTAAAATATTGATGATGATTTTATGACCATTATATATTAATACCTGTGGGAACAATCTTTAAGATTATGATTCCAAAGCCAGTTCTCACAATTAATGTTGTGAGCTTGAGTTTAGAATACCACTACCCTGCTTCATTTTATGCCTAATTAAAAACCCAGCTTTTGTATGACTATTCAGCTAAAATTTGTTTATTTGACTGATTCATGTATGCAACAGTTCATGTTCATTGACAGAAGAAGGTGGTAAGTAAGATATTAACTCCTAGCTGTTTCAGTAAAAAGAAAAGTTAATATGTTAAAATATTCTGACACTGCAAGCATGTTCAGCTTTGAACTTTGTATATATATTATTGAGGTGGGTGATCTCTACTTTTATTTTGTTCATTTTTTATTCAATATATAATTCAAATTCTCATTTTTTAGTTTTAATATATATGATTAAAACACAATTTATTTTGTTTATGTTTGAATTACTACCACTTGTTCTTGACTTGTAGGAATTCAATCCATCTTTGAAGATATTTACATGTAATTTCATGATTCATTGTTGCAATGTAATTTTGTATTACATATTTTCTTCCTTAAGAGCCATGAAGATTCAGAGCATCTTCTGAAGATGGTTCTACTGAAGTTATTATCCGATAATTTATTTGTGATGCCGAAATTTATGTTCGTCGTCGTATCGCAAAGTAGTCACTACAAGTTAAATAAAAAATGTAATTAATCCAACAAGCAGAATTCTATTCCAGGAAGGTTTATGTTATAGTTTTTCAGCTGTCAGACTTCAAAATTTTTGGCTTCAAATATTTTCTGTGAATTACTCAGAATGCTATGTGGTACCAAGTAATGAAATATAAATTTATAAAAAATATATATATTTTTTGATTTGATACAATCATCAAATCTCTACATTCGAATATGAAGTCTTTGATTAGAAATTCTAATTGAGTTTGGTTTCATTGCTTTTACAACTTAAATGAACAAAAGATGAAATTATTATCATATCATTTCTCTCTATTCTACTTTTGGTTCCAATTCACTTTCATCTTTTTCGAAAAAATCAATAATTAATCCACCAAGTTCTTCAATTTTTTTTTTCTTTTTTATATATGATTTTTAATTACATTGATTTGTATATTGTTGTTCTGTTAACATAATTTTGCTTTAACAGATTTTAAATTAAAAATACAATTAGAAATTAGGAACTTATAATCAATCTGATTTAAATTTTTAATAATGTACTTTAAATTATTTAACTTTTATTAATAATTTCTTAATTACAAAATTCTGTATTTTGTGTATTTTGCCAAAGATATAGTGTAATATTATTTAATAAAAAATATAAATTTGTAATAGTTTTTTTTTTTTATTTATAATTTTTGCTTATTGAAATCAATTTGAGAAAAGAAAAATGGTACTCGTAAAAATATAAATTTACCCAGTTTAAGAGAGCTTCCCTTCTGCTTAGATAAGAAGAAAACTTATCCATTTCAAACACAGCCCTCTCTAACCAGATACCAGAACCCAGAAGCCATGTCCATTGCTGCCCTCTCTTCGTTAGGGCATACTCCCCCTCTATCCTCACTAAAATGCACTACTTTTTTCTCTACCAAGAACAACCCCCTTCTCTGCAACACCGCCAAAACTCCTCTTCTTTTTTCCAAAACCAGTAAAAGATGTAAAACCCACATAGTGGCAATGAGCATGGAGGCCGGAATTGGTGTGATGGGTACCAAACTGGGTATGATGAGTTACTTCGAGGCTGATGGTACTGTGGTGCCTGTAACGGTCGTGGGATTTCGAGAAGGAAATATTGTGACCCAGGTCAAGACTGTTGCTACTGATGGGTATGATGCTGTTCAGGTTGGGTACAGGAGGGTTAGGGATAAGAAATTGACTAAGCCTGAAATGGGTCATTTGGAGAAGGCTGGGGTTATTCCTTTGCGTCACTTGCAAGAGTTCAGGTTGCAGAGCGTTGAAGGGTTTGAACCTAACCAGAGGTTGCTGTTTGAGGAGATTTTCAAGGAGGGGGATCTTGTTGATGTGTCTGGGACTACAATTGGCAAGGGATTTCAAGGTTTGTGGCGGTGTTTCTGAGTCCGTAAATGTCTCTCCTTTACTTATTATTATTATTTTTTTACCTAAGTAGGTTGTAAGTGTTGATTCACACACACCAATGCAAACCCATATACAAAGGTATTTACATATCAATGTCCTCAAAGCTCCCCTGTTCCTTTTCTTTCACACCACCGAAAAAGTAGCAAGGAGAATAAGGTTCACATGTCTGCTCTCATCTCCAATCCCTTTCCACGCCCAAATTTCCTCTCTCACCGAACCATATCCAATCCCTTTCCATGCCCAAATTTCCTCTCGCAGCGAACCAGTCATCACCTAGTTAGGTACCCAACATGCCGTAACCAAGAGTCCATAATCACTTATTCTCTTTACATTCCAAGGATGATGGACCCGTTACTTGTGTTTTTCACTGTGGACTATGCTGAGATTCTATTTTCTTTCCTGCTCGCGTATGCTTAATTTCTGTATAAATGATTGCGGTTTCGATGAAATTCTACTGGTTTTAGGCGTGTTATATTCAAGTTTCATACTTTAGCTTTCGGAGGTTCTAGTTCAAGGCTTGTCTACAACTGTGTAAGATCAGGGCATGTTACTGGATCTGCAATATCTTGTCAGATGTGCATTATTATTCTTTTTGTTGTAAATGGCCTCTGATAACTTTATTTCCATTTTTAATTTGCTAATTGGAACCAACTCTCCTTTGGATTACATTGTAGTTATCCTAAGAGATGCAAAGCTTTTCATTGTGAAAGAGGTTTAGTTATTGAGGTCATTAGGACATGGTGGGTAGAGCAGTTGTCCTGTTAAAGCCCTTGTTGCAATTGTTTGTGCCAAAAGAGTTCATGTTCTGCAGCATCCTTTGTGTTCTATGTCTTATTTTAGAAAAAGAGGTGTGCAATTTTAAGACACAGATCCAAGACCAGTCCTCCGCAGTTGTATTCCTCATTCTGCAGCATCCTTTATGACTACTAAGACTTAGGCATCTAGGTCCTTGCATGACCCACATTGCCCCAGGAGGGAATACTGCCAGCTGCCAGAAAGTGCTAGTGGTTCCACTCATATGCCAACATCAAAGGTGTAGGCGGAGGGGCAATTAGTGCCAACAAAATGAGGTGCATTCGAAGCTTTCCTGCATGAGTGAAGTTTTAAAACCCATTTGACATTTTTTAGTTGTAGTTGTGGAAAGCCTTCTTGCTCACTGTATGGGTTGCCTTCTACATCTGCTTGGTTGACTCTGGGTCAGCAGAAGTTTGATTTTTACAAGAGTCTTTTTGCTGAACTTGCAAGTTTTACATCCCACCTCACTCTTCCCCCTCCAAAATAGAAGTGTATATCTATTCTTACGTGTTCTCTTTGAGAAATTTTGTGAATATCAGTGCTGTTGTTTGATAGCTATCTTTTGTTTGTACAATTTGAAAATGAGAAGTCATATAGCGTGTTTGTCATAATTGCTCATGCTGAAGTTTGTAATTGGTGCCTGGAATTACTTTCTGATGAGTGGAAATATCGGTATATGTACATTCTCTTTGCAAGAGCTCTTGAGCATGCAGATTGTGTGGGAATGCTGAATCATATCTTTCATTGTGAAAGCATGCAAATTTTACATACCCTTATTGCCTCCTCTCCTGCTTTCCTTGTTTTCAAATAATATAAGTTTCTTGGTTTGTGGCCTTTTTATGGACTAAGGTCATGACAATCTGTTAGTCCATTGGAATTGTTCTAGTACTTGTATTGTTTGGGTTCCTGTCTATAATAACTAAATAAATGCTTCACTTCGCTCTAATATATCCAGTTCAATATTTCTAAATATCTTAGCCTTGTATTTGAGAAGTATACCGTCAAATCCATAGTTGGCTAAGCTTGATCCAAGTTTTATCTTGCCAATTGGACAGGTGGAATTAAGCGGCATAATTTCAAGAGGGGAGCAATGACCCATGGTTCCAAGAGTCACAGAGCTTTGGGTTCCATTGGTGCTGGAACAACACCAGGGCGTGTATACAAGGGGAAGAAAATGCCGGGTAGGATGGGAGGAACAAAAAGAAAGACACGAAAACTCAAGATTGTGAAAATTGACAATGATCTTCGTGTTGTAATGATAAAGGGTGCTGTCCCTGGTAAGCCGGGAAATCTGCTGCGCATAGCCCCTGCAAAGATTGTTGGGAAGAATATTCCAAAGAGCTAGCTCCACTGTGTTTTGATTTGTTTTGTTTTTGTGCCGCTCTTCATTGTCAAGAACAACAATCTATTTGCAACCTTCTGCTTCTATAAGCAACCTAGGGTTCCACCCAAAAAAAAAAAAAAGAAAAAGCAACCTGGATATGTGATCTAACACATTTATGTATCTAGTTTGTAGAATGGTTTCTTAGATATGGAGTCTGTACTGGTCCATCGTTAATGATTTCCTTTTTCATTCTTTTGAATTCAATACTTTTGGAATTGACAATGTACTATAAAGGAACTAAAAAGCATTTAATTAATAAAAATATTAAATTAAACATACTTTTTTCATGCAGAATTTATTAGTATTATCATTTTTGAATAAATAGCGTGCTCTCCTTAATCTAGTGAATGATCTATCTTTTTAGAAGATATGTTAGATATATGTGATATCTCTCAAAAAAAAAAAAAATGATCCACTTGAAGATTAAAAATGACAAGGGTATCTGTTTTTGGTATGACTGGTAAGGAAAATAGTCATTGCTGATAAGTCTAGTATTATTATCCGTGCAAATTCTTTCCATGGTTTAATCTTATTAAAACATGATGAATATCTAGTATTTTGAAATTGGGTTATGTTGTTCATTACTGTTGATTCAATCTTGTGATCTGAGGAGAAACAATTTTGTTTTTGGTTGTGCTTTTTCTAAAAAAATTAAAATGCTTTTGTTGCTGTAAGTTTGGTAATGGCTTGAAAATCTTACTGCAACTTTATGTTTGAACATGTTGAATCGGAAGTCTTAGAAAAAAGATCTTTCTTGAGATTTTTTTAGTGTAAATTAAGTCTTTTTACTAATTAAGTAATAGTATATTCACTAATAAAAGATTATTGATTTATTATCGCAATTGAAATGTAATGTAGTCATTGAAGAAAATTCGAGTTTTATCTCCTAGATAATTGAATATATCAGCGAATTAGGTGGCAAAATGAAGTATTAAACAAGTTTATTACAGTAACAAAGGTCAAACTCTCCAACATTCTACCTATGATATAAATCCTAATATTAGAATAGAAACAACCTAGCTTTCTGATATATTTTCACAAACACATAGGGCAAAAACGTAGGAAGACATTTCATTATTTTATACTTGTAACTGTTGGATGGATGACTCTACCAGACAAAACTATACAGAATAAGAAATAGCAGAAGCAGGAGTAATGATCCCAGCCCAAACCCATCAGCATCAGCACTAGTTGTTTGCTGAGTTGGGCATGTTGATGGAAATCGAAGAATCGGAATGACTGCAGAAAGAAAGTGTACAAGAAATAACAGCAATAGAAGGACAAGGACTATGACAATTCTGCCATTGGCTTCAGAGTCAGAAGCTTGAAACAGAGGCAGCAAATAATCTGCAAGGGTTAAAAGAAAAGGGCTAAAGATCATAAGTCCAAGAACTCCCACAATTAGAGATGGTACCAATGGAGATGGCCCTCTGTTTCCCATTTCTTTCTTTCTGTTTAGGCAGAGACCTTATGTACCTTAGCAGTTAAGAAGAAGAAGAAGAAGAAAGATGAGCAAAAAGTTAAGAGATAATGCAGAATATGCTTCTGTTCCTTGGCTATATGTAATGTAGTTAGTTGAGCTGCTAGCAACCTCTTTGCATAAATCTGTATCTTTAATTTTTTATTTGATTTTGTCTTGGACAGGTTTGTTTCTATGCAATATAAGATAGTTGAGGCCAACTGCTTGGGAGGATGAAAACCAAACAACTATTTCTTTATAACTGGAAGGATGAAAATGACCACATCGTCCTCAATTATTCCAAGGCTAATCATCATTTATCTACAATAAATTTAAGAAAATTTCATTTTCCTCCAACTATAAATAAATGCATACTATCTAATTTATTATATAAAATTCCCAACAAAAAATAAGCTCACTGAGCCAGATAGAGAAAGTTGAAGATTAAAAGGTCACAGAAAGGTTTGCATGTAAAAATTCTGTGCTTTCTGATTTCTGGACAAGATGTTTGCAGTCCCACCTCCCCATCCTTCAGAGAAAAACCACACACAAATGGGAGGCAGGAAAATTAAATTTATCTTAACATGGGCAAGAGAGGGCTAATTACATCACTGAGTCTGGCCATATCCCGCCAAGCCAGCATATCTGTTATCCTGGATCTGCACTACCTTCTGAAACTACGGAATTACGACACTGTGTACAAAAGAAAAGAAAAGACTGTATGGATAAGAACTACACCCACATCCTATCCCTGTATCTCACTCCAATTAAGATGTAGGGCTGTACTTGAGATGTTGCTCATAGAAGTCGATCAACTGGAAAAATTAATTAAAAGAACAGGAACCTGATCAGAATATTCTCATGTTTTTTTGGTAAATCTTAACACCACTGCATTATCAAACGAAACAGGAAATATAAACGGAAGATTACCAGATTCGGATAGCTGGTCTTGAGAAATTTGTTGTCAATCATCACTTCTTTGCCATCAGACCTATTAAATTGGAAAAAATATAATTTAGCCAAATATTCTTTAAAAGCTAACACTAGTATAAACACACAACAAAGTGCAGATTATAGGAACAGCAAGGACAGGCCAACGCATGCATGGTGCAATTTGATATAGTAGGACACAAGATAAATTTTGCATCCTTCTCAGTTACTAAAAAATGCTCTTCTAATATATTCTTGAAGAAAGTATTATTAGAAAGAAAAGAAAAGAAACATCAGAAGGGGCCAAAGATCCTCCTAAATTCAAACACAAAGCAAGCCAAGGGAAATCCCAAAAGCTCCATGAGCCTTAGCCCAAATGGGATACCGAAAATCCCAAAGGAGCCAAGGAAGTTGGAAATGGTATTTGGCCTTCCCAAGAGCATTATTCTTATGAAACCACAGTAGCAAAAATAGCACCCCCCCCCCCTCCCCCCAAGAGCATTCATTCTCCACATTCTTATGAAACCATGGCAGGAAGAAATAATGTTTTGTGTAACATAAAGCTATATGTTTGCCTCCTGTTAAATAATCTCATTCCTAGAGGAAACATGGGAGCATGAAAAATACAAGAACTTCCTATAGCATGACAGTTAAGGCTCTCAACAACTGAGGTAGAAGCGGGATCAGCAGAAGATAGTTTTCTATAACAGGAATAACATTTGCTACTATTATGGTTGCCTAAAGTTTGTGAAAGGTCACCCCCTCATAATGGGGTTTATATTGTTAACCTTTTTGATATTTTGTCTATGATATATCTCAAAATGCAATAAACTTTGTCTCAAGTAACATCCTTGTGGTGCCTTTTAATGATCCTGAAAAAAGAATAGAGCTCTTTTTCAGAAAAAGGAATATAGTAATAATAGTTACTCGGATCCTTAAACACCACCCCTCATCTAGGTACCAAATTTTTTGAACAAGCTTGTGGTTCGTGTTTGCTTGAGCTTGCCTTGGTTCTCAATCCAGAACTTACAAAATTCTTTCAGAATTGAGATTAATTACAAGTCAAAAACTGTAGAGTCAAGTGGCCAACTAATGTTCTTGTTGTAGCTATAAGAAGGATTTGAATGCTTGATTTTTTCACATGGGAAAAGAACCTACTACTAAACTAATGGTCCACATGATGAACCTAAGAAGTGGTTCAATTCAATCACAAACCAAAATACTGTACTGACTAAGCCTAACCTCTTTCAAACCTTACCATCTTCCATCTTTAATACCTGATGTGGACATTTGTAACTATCAGAGTACTAATGCCCAAAATGGAAGTTTTTTGAATAAATAATGCCTACAAAAGTATATGAAGCTAAAACAGATCAATTGCTATCAATTGCTGCCACAGTATTAACATATGCATAGTAGGAAATGATAACGATTCCTTTGATGAAGTACACAGTCAACAGTAGAAATAAGATACCAGATATCAAACTTTGTTATGATGTACATAGTTAAAAATAGAAATTTATTTTTTAAAAAAAATAGTTAAAGATAGGAAATGAGAACTTTTGCTGTGTAAACAGTTAAAGATGGAAATAAGATATTTACTACACTTTTATTTCAAAAACAAAGATGGAAATAAGAACTTTAAGAATTTTTATCATTCAAGCAAAGTAAAAATTAAAAGAATTCTTTTCTTACAGAATGTGTTTCAAAAAAAAATTCTTTCTTACAGTAAAACCAAATGCACACCCCTCTGCTGCCCTCAGTGACATCAAATATGAATTTTCAATATAGAAGAAGATAGTGGCACAAGAAATCCATATGAGAATGCCATATTAATTCCTCCAACATAGATATTAATGTGTAAACCCTAGTTATAATTCGATTCACGTATCAATTCCTCCAACATAGTGGAAAGTCAAATATACATCATAAGTTATTTTCTTATGCCAAGATCCTCAAGTGCATTTATACCAATTAATGGCTTACAAAACAATTGAATGGCAAAAGAAGAAAACATTGAAGAAGTTGCACCAATGATCACTATGTTTTGGAAATTTTTTGTTCAAGGGTATCCAAAGGAGGTGAGCTTATAGACCTAATATATCTTCTGAGCCATCTAATTGCACATCTACATTTTCAGCATGGACTGGAAATTCCTCGTATCTTGTAAATACCACTTTCTTTTCCAAAAAAAAGTTAAAAAAAGAACACCATCCCTGGCACATTTATCTAGTTTTTAGCCTTCTCTATGTACCCTACATTCATTGGATAAGTACCATGGTAACTTAATTTTAGATTAGCAGACTCTTAATGGAAGATAAATTTGGTTGCTAGCTTAATACCATGGTAGAAAAAAAAAAGAACCAACCAGATTAAAAACTTATCATCTTCATCAAGGTCTTGGAATAATACACAGAGCACTTGGCCTGATCAATTTTAGGCGTGGATTTTGGCCAGGAGATTTCTATATAAGTGGTAAGAACTAAAAATTTCAAAATATATAAAAGGTTAGAAAATTAAGAGGAAACATGAAAGGAAAAGAATATGAGAGGAATCAGACACAAGATGGAAAGCATGAATTCACCATCATGTATTACCAAAACAAAAGGAACAGACTCACAATCTGCACTAGCTATTTATCATCGGAAGCCATGTTTGCATGCCTATAAACCAATTCATATTAAGGAAAATATTATTACGCTTCATTACAAATTGACATGCTTATGAAGAGTTTATGGGCATATATTCGGAACAAACTAACATTCTTATGCTACACTTAAATAGGACTGAGGTAAGGTGCAGGATAAAGGCGCACAACAATAGGGCTCAAAACTAATTGACATCCTTAACATTGACATCCCTATTCTACAATCAAATAGGACTGAGATAGGGGTATAGGATATTTAAGGAGACAACAATTTTTTAAAATAAAAAGTACAAAATATCATTAAAAATAGGCACCTAGGGGGTGCCAAACCATATACTAAATTATTTATTTACAAATCTATAACAATATCAATTAACTCTGCTAATTCTTCCATGTAGAATGGGTTGGTACTAGATTTCTTAAATAAATTAGAAATTATAACTATATCAAATGTAAAACAACTATACTATTTAGGAGCATTATTATAGTCTAATTAGTATTTTCCTATTTGTATTAAGATTACTATTCGAGTATTATTAGTATTAATTTTTTATTCTTATCAGGATTAGTGTTCCCAATTCTACTAGTTTACTACTTATTTTAATACCATTTAGGAAAAATTATTCAGAAATTATTATAAATACCTTGTAATTTCACTTATTGGATTCAAGTGATTCAATAATATTTTGAGAGTTCCCCTTCTTCAAAAAAAAAAAAATAATAATAATATTTTGAAAGTTTCTCAATTTTTTATTTGTGTGCAATAATCACATGCTTAAGTGTGATATTTAAGATTTCTTAGATATGATGTCTCAGAAATCCTAGGTGTAATGTCTTATTTTTTTATCTCCAAGTTCCTAAATGGACATATCATTGCTATTTGTCTTACATCAATAGGCATTGAGAATCCCAGCAAATAGATAGGTGCATTGTTGTTTGAGTGTGCCAACGTAAAATTTTGAATTACAAAATTATCTAGAATATTTAAGAAGGTAACAATAGGCCTCGAGAATCCCAGCAACTAGATGGACCACATTATGAATTTTAAGAGTATTGCAATATAAAAATTTGGATAAAAAATTATCCCATATGGCTTCCATATGATAAAGCCACAAGACAAATCTTGAAAGGAAAAGGCAATTCAAAATCCTATCATTGCATTTGGTTCAACTCCTATTCAATTCCCATTAATTATTAGCCTATTATACTATTCTTAAATGCAGGTTTAGAACATGAATTTGCAAATTTGAAACTGAATTTCCAACCATAAAGAACTCAAGGTGGGGAAAAGGATTAGATCAGACATAGAATTAGAAGTAACAAATCAAAACTAGAGGTAACTAAGCTAGGAAAAGCTACGTGGTTTTCGAATAGAAAGCTAGAAAAAGTACATGATTAAAATAGAAATTTGTAAAAATAAAGCATATGCCAAGGTCAATCAATAGATCAACCAGCATTTTACGTCTTGGAATAATAAACTATATTAAGCAGTAACAATAGAGCATGTACACAGCAATACATAATTGTCATTGTTGCCATTTCCTTTGTGCAAGTCCAAATTTATGCAAGTCGATGTAGTAACATGAATAGGACAGCAAAAGTAACAAAGCCAACAGTTCTAGGATGCAGTTACAGTTGACTGGAGTTGGTAGATTAACATCAAGTCATCAATAAATTTGATGAAAAGAATTTGAGAACAATGATTAGAATATGGCTTATTCAGTAAGAAAGTGTCCAAACTTTTGAGTAACTCATCTTTTTATGTTGAACAATTAAGTGCCTACTAAAACACTTCAACTAACGGTTTTAAGTCTTATCCACAAGGTGGAAAAAAATTCTATATCAGCATCTTTAAGAAAAACTTAAAGGCAACTTTTCTAATTACCGAAACAATACTTTTAGTTTACTATTATTGACTTTATGGTTTTAATAAACAATAATTAGCGAACTACTGGTGCAGCACCCAGTTAATAACAATGTTTTTTTGTTGAGAGAAAAAGACAATAAATAACAATGTCAAACGTGAGGTATCTGAAATTTTCGGTTAATTTATAATTTTTAACATTTTGTTTTGGTAGCTAAAAAAGAAAGTGATAGAACAGGCACTTAGTTGAACACAGTCTAAAGTACTGGCACTTAATCTCTCAAAAAAGTTTTGGCACTTATTAGTGGATCTAGCCAAAAGATAAAATTAGAAAGTTTAGGCACTTATTAGTGGACTTAGACAAAAAATAATGACTTCAAATTTTTTATTTTTTGACAGAGAAAAAGAACCATATTTTGGAGAACACATAAAGGGAGGGTGCCACCCATATGCAAAAAGTATTTTACACACTGGGAAAGGGTAAAATATCGATGAGGTTCCATTATCTTCCATCAGGGAGAGGGTGACCTTCAAACAACAGAAAAACACCAACTTTGGAGCCAAATATCACCCAGATCAGATTTTAAATAGGTATTTGCTTGACAGCAAAACCATGCCTTAAGTCCATGACAATTGAATTTGCTACTAACATCATTTTATGGATGCTATGGTTGGAGTGGAGCACAGGATCTTTAAAAACCGATCCTTCCTTTCCAGTTCCAGTGGGAAAGGATTATTTCCAAAAAAAATATTCCAGAGGGAAAGGATGATCTTTTTGACCTCTCTATGGGTTAAAGCTTATGATCAATTTAATGGTATTTCCATTTCTGTGTTACATCAGAAATTTGGGACAATAATACATTGGCCTTTTGGTTTTTGATGCTGAATTTAATTTTGCCTTCACAAATTAGAAAGCTTTAAGAAGATATCTTATCCTCCGGTAGTAGAAGACCTTAGGAGGACATCTTATCCCCCAATAGTAATAGACTTTAGGAGGATATCTTATCCTCCGGCATTGTAACTTCTTTTTTATTGCCTTAATAATATTTATTTTTCTATCAAAAAAGGTCAATATATTATCTTCCTCAAGGATTTTCCAAAAAAAACTAATAAAACATGTAACAAAGCATTGTTCAAAAAATGTAAACATTGTGGAGCTTGGTGTGGAAGTTGCTATTATAATAGCAACCTATAGTTTTTTCAAAAACAAAAAGGACAGAGTAGATAAACAATACAAACTAGCCATCACCCTCAACTTCCCAAGGAACCAAATGCAAATATTTCTGCTTGATAATTCCAGAAAAGCTATACTGAAAAATACCAGCCAAATTCTTCGGAGATATATATTACAAGAGAAAACACCTTTACAGGCAAATCAACTAAAAGTAGAGAAGCCCCTAAGTCTCAACTTCCATGCAAATATAGGACAAAGCCCATAATCCTCATTTTGTTTTTCACATTTAATATTGTGAAACTACAATTAAAACCCTAAGAATGATAGTAAACTTTGTATTGCTGCAACATATAAGCAGTCTGAGAGACATTGGTTCCTGAATTAGACACAATCAATAGCAGAAAGCACCAAATCAGCAACCAAAATTTCATAGTCTCTTTACACTTAATGGTTGTTGTCGTTGGAGACGAATGCTAGAACTTTTGAAGACCATTTCTTACCTACTCCCTTTCTCCAGGATAGAATGACCTTTTAGTCTCTTTTTGGGCAAAAGCAGATTGACACTATAGGGATATCTCTTTGGCAATTCTGCAAATGGATCTGCAAAGAGAATGGGATGTGGTTCTTGTAGTCTTAAGAGGTACTCTAACACCCATTTAGTTCAATACCTACTCTATCTCTATCATATTCCTTGATATTAATTACTTGATATGTAGAATCAGATCATATCTTAAATACTTATCCACAATTGAAGTTTCACTTTTATAGCAAAATATTTCAATTTTTTCTTAGCAGGTATGAATCATAACTACTTAACTTGAATTGAATATATAATTAGCATATTATCTTATTCAAAACCAAATTTAGGCTAACATTATCTCCATTCCTGTTTTTTGCCATAGTTCATACCCACATGGCTTCATTAGCTAGTTTCTTTTTCACACCTGACATCGATGGCAATCTGAAGGCCTACCTAAACCTGCAACTAAATAGGATAATATCTTTCTCCATTGACTAGAACAAAAATTATTCTTAGCAAGAACATGGACATGAATCACCAAAGACTACACAACCTTTGCACAAAAAAAGTAAGTTTCTGACAAAGATCACTGAGTCGATTAGAGGCCACTTAAGTAAATCTTTTCCAACTTAATTAATGCAGCCAGATTTAGGGAGGCAAGGGTCAACAACTGTTTGACAGAATCTGGTGGAACATTCCTCTCCTCTGAAGCGTCTTTGCACATGGCTTTCTTTGTCTAGGAGGTAGCAACGGGCCGTGTTCAAAGTATGGACAATCCATTCATCTTCTTCTTTGGTGTGTTGAGACTAGAATGAGGTTAACCTCGACTAGGCTGTGGGTAGTTCAATAAAGGATGAGCTATGGACTTGGAATGGTGTTGCTATGTCAAGGTTACCTCAACTAGTCTGTGGCTGTTCAATAAAGGATGAGCTATAGACTTGGAGTGGTGCTGCAACATCAAAGTCAAAGAAGAAGAAGACTATTCCCATAGTTCCTCTTTCAATCTCATCGGTTGCTCGGAAAGAGAGAAATAAAAGAGCCTTCAACAATTCCACCTCACCGTTTCACAAGATTAGAGATAACTGACTGAGAAACCTTTGTATTTTGCTCAAAGGATCTTCCATGGAGCCGATATTTTAGATCTTTTATTCCTCCATTGTGAGATAGCTTGGAAGATTCAACGTGTTTGGACCAAATTAGGTCACTCCTACAGTGGAGAGCTTCTGATATGTACACATAAAGATTGATGGGATAAGAAAGCAAAACCATGGAGAGAGGCCATCTTCTCTGGTTTAAACTTTATGGCTTGCAAGGAACCAAAGAATCTGCAATGATAGACATACATCTTTCCTGAGGTATGAGACAGAAGGACTTCTTTGGCAACTTTATAGGTCAACACACAAAAATATTCCTCTGACTACTTTCGATCTATATTGAAATTTGGGAGACTATCATCTTTGTTCACTTATGTTCTGTTAATGTTTTTTCTTTTCTTATTCTTTTTTGTTTGAAAAATTTAGGAATATACCTTATTCTCCTCTTTGTATTTTTCTCCTCTTCTCTTAATAAAGCTTCTTTTCTCTATCAAAAAAAAAAGAAAATCTAAAGGCTTTTAGGACATAAGGCTGTGAAATCTTAGAGTAACACCATAAATTAGCCAAATTCCAAGGTACAAACTACACAATTGAAAGGAAGAAAGTAGGATTAGTGATACATATAGTCACAAAGGGCCAAGCAATGGCAGCCACAATTTTATCTAAAGAAAGGCCAAAGTACGTTTATTGTCATCAATAAAGGGGATGCAGGGACTTTGCCCCTGGCTACAGCAAATCATAACCTTATTGTTTCTCTCTCACCTTTCCATATAAATCGCACACACTTATTATTGATTAACCTAAATTAATGCAAAACAGAAATGGTTACTCTTCTCAATACATATATACCTAAAGTATTTAGCTCATCTCAGTTCATTGACACCTCTACTCACCCAAGAACCATTCAGAAGCTAATAATAAAACAATAGCACTTGAAAGCTACTTTCAAGACATTTCTTTCTCGTAGCAATTGACGAGAAGAATAACAAGTTCAAGAATCCAGGAAGCAAGACAATCAATTACACATGCAAGGTAAAATTATTAAGTAGACTAATAATAACTCAGTTGGAACCCCTAAACAGTTATACCCGTCATGCAAATCTTTTATCGCATCCAAGAAAAATGTTCAAATAAGGAACAGGTGCTAACAGGAAATGTACACTTAGTATCAATTGTCTGCTCGTTTTACTTGATTAATTATTTATGTTCAGGAGAATTGTTACCTCTCACAGGTTACTTTCTGCCAAGAAATGGAAAATTAACTTTCTTCTATAAGCATAAAGAGACGAATGAAAAAAAGAAAGAAAAAAAGAAATTGAGTCCAGAGACAAACCTCAATGCTAAAAAGGTTACCACAACATCTTGAATATTTTCAGTTACTGAGCATGAAAAGCCAATTGGCTTTAGGATCTCTGTGATATATAAATCATCAATCTTGACATTTTGGCTTGAATTATTCCCTGTTGAACCAGGACTTTCAAGACCCAGCCTTGCAACTCTTCCACCAGAGCCTAAAGTAAAATTTGATGTTGGATTCTGTGAGGGAAGAGGCTCAAATGAGGACATATCTTGTTTAAACCTCTTCACAGAACCAGACTTTCTTCTCTTAGCTCCTGTGCAGCGATTCCTCTGAACAGCTTCCACATGATTGACCTTGGGAAGCCCGTTTGCAGGTCCATCACCTACAGATGCATTGCCTTCATGGAAATGTATTGCAAGTTTATCCACATTGACCTCATTGTTGGATAATGTTCCTCTAAGTTCACTAAGTTTGGGATCATATTCATTTTCTTCTTTTCTCTCATCAGTTTGTTTTGGGACATTAGTAGTCCCATTTTCGTCAACCAAAATCAGTTGATTTCCATTGTTCCCTCCTTCAGAAGTGGACCCCATAAATTGAGTCTGGGCAGGAGTATCACTAGGAAACAAGTTGCTAAGAGGAACAGAAGGCAGAAGATGATCTATTCCAGTGCCTAGTCTCTTGTATGCTGACACAGAAGATCGTGGCTGCTTCTTCTTAGGCTGAGAGTGAGGACCCCCATGCTTGCGTTTGCGTTTTCGACCATGCTTTCCAAGTTTCAAGCTTCAAAACCAAAGAATGAATTGAGGATATACGAATGCAGAATATAAAATTGGACGTCCACATCTATTGACTTTCTATAGCTCAGCTTAATTATCAAAGAAATGAAGGACAAAAGGATAACAAACATTTTAAGGAAAATTAGCTAGACAAATGATAGTTGACATTAACAATATGCTGCTTGCTTGTCCTTGTAATCTGATAATGCATTTCTAACAGACAAATAAATAATTTTAAGTCGCAAACGCATTAAGAACTTAAGAAAACAAGGATGAGTGAAGGAGGAGAGAAGCCTACCTGTCCTCAAATGCATCAATAACATCAGTACAAGTCTGAAGATTCTCTAATGGCTCCCAAGTGTTGGCTGCTTCAGGCCATCCACGCCTTCAAATAAAATAAAAAATAATCGAAAAGCACCCAGAACTAATGAGTCGAACTTAATTGACTTTGATGATTCTATTACTGTCTCTACTCATTGAAGAGAAGAAAAATATATAATAAATTTCATTAGAAAAGAGGGAAACTCACCATTTAATGAGATACTGAACGGCACCCTATTTGTTGAGAAAGCAGCAGAACCAACACAGGAACCAAAAAGAGAGGGGAAAAGAATAATCAGCTTAAAAGAACAATGAATAAACAAAAATGAAAAGCACATTATCTCTTGCATTTCCATAAGTTTCTTTGTTTCTTATGCCAGTGGAAGCCGCTAAACGCTCCCAGAAAATAAGTACAACATGGGGTGTCCGTTAAATGGAACACCCACTTGCATATATATACCAAAAACAAAACCTCAAATTCCAAAAGCTAAACTTTAAGGAAAATATAGGACCCCACCAGCTTGAAAATATACTACCATTTGTCCTTTGCCTCCATTTTCAACCCACTGTTTGTTTACAGAGGAAAAAAACCGCACAGAAAATCGCAGAACGCAATCCGATCAAAGTCCAAACAGGGGAGAAGAAAAACAATGTACCTTTCTAACCCTTCTACGGCGAATGGCTTCAATTTCATAAAACCCCTCAGCAAGCTTTGGCCTTTCTTCTTCTTCAACCTCATCTTCACTTTCCTTCCCCTCTCCTTCCTCTCCTTCTTCTTCCAACTCCTCCTCATCCTCTTCCTCTACGTTCATATCCACTTCTTTTCCTTTATGCCCACTTCCTTCCTCCCCATACCCTTTACGCTGATCGTCATCAACGTCAAGAAGAAGCGACTGATTATCGGTATCGCCGTTGGAATCGATACCCATAACTCGCTTCTCGTTCTCCCCTCCAATGCTCGCTTCCACGGCGTCGTTTCCCGCTTGATTCTTCCTCTTCCCTGCTCCACCTACTCCTGCTCCTGCTCCTGCTCCTGCTCCTGCTGCTCCTCCTCCTCCTCCTCCTCCCCCTCCTCCCTTCATTTTTTCTGCGACGAAGCGCTGTGGGTTTTAATGCGATAGAAGTAATCAAGTATCAAGTGGATTACGGGTACGTTTTCACGGTGGGGTTGAGTCGTTTCATATTTCATGTACGATTATACAAGGGGCCTAGCCTGAGCTGGGTTCTTGACAAGACGCCGATTCACTTTCCACTGCTTCGTGTTCTAAAACTTATGAACATGTATTTGCCCCGAACCCATAGATCCGACCCTTCAAAACAAAATGGATCACCCGAACCCGACATTCCAAGCCTTTTCCCCTGTTGTTTCCCCTCCAGCTCTACGCTGACTCGGAGAAATATACGATGCAATGAATACAATATCAAAATTATTATGCAATGAATACAAATATAAAAAAATTTCTTGTATTTTTAAAGAATATCCAAAATTTTATTACACTTCCTTTTTTTTCAGATTCTCTCTATATATTATAAAATGAGTCAAATTTCTTTTATTATATTACCTTTTTTTATATTTTCTCTATATATTATAAAATTAGTCAAAATTCTTTTATTATACTACATTCTTTTTTCTAGATTCTCTCTAAATATTATAAAATGAGTTAAAATTCTATCTTTCGTAAAATTTGCTCACGTTTTATATACCAATAATATGGTATATGACGTGTCAAAAATACATAATTTTATTTTAAATATCGTGATATAAACATCACCTTAGCAATATATCATCACTTATGTTAACAAAATTTTATAATAGATTGAATGTCACGTTATAATCTATCTATTTTATCTGTGATATTAATCTCATCAATCACTCTACACCCACCAAATCAACACGTATAGTCATGGATTCATAAATAAAAAAAGAGATAGAAATGTATTTTATATAGAAAACAACTCAGAATAGCAACCAAAATATCAAAAAAATTTCTTGTATTAGTAAAAAGTATCCAAAACTTTTATTACACTACTTTTGTTCCTAGATTATCTCGATAAATTACAAAATGAGTTAAAATTCTATCTTCCGTAAAATTCGCTCACATTTTATATACCATTAATATGGTATACGACGTGCCAAAAAAACATGTGATTTTATTTTAAATATGTTTATATAAATATTACCTTAGCAACATATCATCACCTACGTTAACAAAATTTTATAATAGATTAGATGTCACGTCATAATCTATCCATTTATCTGTGACCTTAATCTCATCAATCTCTCCACACCTACTAAATCAACATGTATAGTCATAGACTCATAATTAAAAAAAGAGATAGAAATGTGTTTCACATGGAAAATAACTTATAGTAGCAACCAAAATATCAAAATTTTTCTTATATTAAAAAATATCCAAAACTTTTATTAAACTAACATTTTCTAAGATTCTCTCTATCCATTACAAAATGAGTCAAAATTTGATCTCTCTATTAAGATTGCTCACATTTTGTACACCAATAATATGGTATATGACATGTCGAAAAGTGTAAAGGCCCGAAACTTTAAGAAAAATAATATATATTGTAATAGTGAAAATAAATAATAATTAGGAGTTACATTCTTTACACAGTAGATCACAATGCCCAATAAGGTTACAGAAATGTCCGTTTTAAATAAGTTAAAATAACATAAGTAGAAATGAAACTAAAATCCTATGCGATTAACCTCCACTGGCAACTATGATGGAGTTCGGGAAGTCACTTTTACTCGCAACTCTCCTGATGTTCAGTATCTAGATCTTGATCTTTTTTATCTGAAATAGTTAAATAGGGAGATAAGCTACACTAGTCCAATAAGAATATCACACTGATAATTGATACAAAAAATCGAAGGTTATTAAAAATTATAAAACAACTAATTGAGCCATTATTTAGATAAATTCATTTAACATAAAAGCGCATATTTCATGATTACCGTTATGAGTTTCTAAAATCGACCTATGAAGACAATAACTCAAATAATATTTTAATTTTATATTTAAGTGAGCAAAATAAAAACTTATCTTTTTACTTATTTACCAGTAGCGTTGGGGGTCCATAGGGGTCCCCCCTACGCATGGGCCCAATATCTAAGTTATTGATTAACTGGTAATCCTCATACCTCGTCCGGTAACGGATGCCAAAACATACAACCGCCTCTGTAACACCCCACCTATCACTATGCTAAAATGATTTGGAACTCTATTTATTCAAGCATTTGGCCGCCTTAAACTAAATTAATTTACGTTGTTTCCCGAAATTCATGATTTTAATATTTATTTATTTTATTAATTTTTATTTTATTTTGTTTTGTTTTGTTTTTAAAAAAAATTAGAAAAAAATCAAAAAACGGCGAAACGGGAGAAAAACTGCTCGCGGGAAAAATCCCGCGAGAGGACAGTTTACCCGCACGGGTGCTAGGCACTGTGTGCGCGCATATGCGCACAGTACACACATCCCATCTGCACGCCAGCACGCATGCACACACGGGATGAGTGCACAGTGTGCACGTCCCATTTGCGCGCAGACAGGCCATCTACGCGTCACTTCGTGCACGGACTAGCGCCGCACACTGTGCACGGACTAGTGTTGCACACTGTGCACGCGTCGTCCGTGCAGCAAGACTGAGCTGACTGGCCCTATGCGCCTGGGGCCCATGCACAGTAAGCCTGCGCGCATGGCTACAGGCCTGTGCGCCTACAGGCTAAACTATAGTGCTCTGGCCGGGCTCTGCCACCTTGGGTAGTGCTCCGCTGCTGCCTTGGGTGACACACCGCCGCCACCGATGGGGAAATTTTTCTCCCTCGTTTTTCATGCCAAGAATCTTTTTCTCTTCTTTCTTCATCGAATTTTGCCACTTGGCGCGAATCCAACAATTCTAAAATTCTATAAATTGCCCTTCCCCTTCCCTTCCTCTCCACACTTCCATTTCTTCTATTTTTTTAAAGGTTTAGAGAGAGAGAGAAAGAGATAATAAAATAGTAAGAGAATAAGAGAAAGAAAGAAAAATGGTGAAAGAGAAAATATCAAGATTTTGGTAAAGAATCTAGTATTACATTCGACGTCTTAAGGAATATTTTTAGATAAGAAAATTTAATATAATAGTTATTTTATCTGTTTTGTATACCTCTGTATTCAAATGAGTCGAATTGTTCTTATTTTCAAGTAGTATGATTTACTGACACTTGATGAATTTGCATATAATAAATATAATATGTAGTTCGTGATAATAAAAGTAAAATAAAAGAGTAAAAAAAGAGAAAAGTGAAATGAAGCATGTATGGTCTAAAGTGTATCTGTATTAACATACATATTGCATCAATTATCTCGTTAGATTTTTTATCTATGAGGGCTATTTGTTCCCCTTGCCATTTACGGTATCTATTTTTTCCTCCCCTATTTGGTCTAGAGAGATATAAGAGGACCGCTCCCAGTGGATGACGGCGTGCCCTCTAATGAGAATGGTATCATACTATTTGTAGGGGTCACCCGTGGTTAAGTAATCTTGTAACTATAAATTATCTGTTAGGACCACTATGGTTAGTACGGCCGTGATCATAGATTGTACCATGGTTTATCCAGCTAGAAGTGGGTCTGAGCAAATTATTGTATCTGTATCTGATCTGATCATTCCACTTGGGCAGTTAGAAATCTATATCTGTATTTGTATCTGCCCTTAAAGAGGGAAGTTTGTAACAACTTCGCGAAGCATGACGCGAAAAATCTGTGTATTTCATGATTTATTTGATTTTCTCTATTATTTGACATGATATATGTATATTTGATTTTCTGTGCTAACGTACTATTTTAATATTTAAAGAAATAATTTTTCTTAATGATGAGTTAGGTAAACGAAGAAGTTAAACAGTAAGATAACGATGTTAATTTAATATTATTTTTCTTACTAAGCATATGGAACTCACTATTTCTATTCCCTCTCTCCCCCCCCCCCCCCCTAGATGAGGAAAAAATGAGGAACTATAAGTCTAAGTGCATGTATGCTCCCGCACTCTGATGAATTCCAGTAGTATAGTGAAAGAAGTGGCCCCTATGTATTGTATTTTGTAGTCACTTCTGGCCTCGGTGATGTATGTATTTAAAACATTATATATATATATATCTGTAAGGAATTTATTAAGGTTTTGATTTCGCTGCATAAATATTATTATACACTCGTTATTCTGAATTTGTATATGACATCCATTTGCCTTAACTGACACCTAGGATGTCACAGACTCAATATCCCATACAGTATGAGGGTGAATTATACCTCCAAGCCCCTTGGGGTATGGGACTTCTCAGTCCTGTTTGACTAAAGTAATACCTACAGTAGGGTTTTCCTATGCACCAGGTTTGTACACCATTCCTAGGGTATCCGATAAACCTTTCATGAATATGTTTCACATCATCAACTAGTCACAATTACATACTGATATTTCATATTTACAATCAACATCAAATCATATAAATAGACGATACGTAAATCTAAAAACCATGATTAGGATATTTACTATAAACAAATTAACAAATGAGGGCAATACAGTTAGATAAGCTAAATAACTGAGAAAGTAATTTAAAGCACACAATATAATAGTAAGCATTTTAGGCAGTATATGAGAAAATAAACAGTAAATTAAGATAAATATGCACTTACAGGTTCTGCCTCCACTAGTGACCTATAATTAATTTTAAGATTTTTTAATTTTTACAAAATATAGTGTTATTGATTATAGGCTTCAATTTACCGTAACAGAAAAAAATGTTAGGGATTCTTACCTTATATCAGTGTTCAAAATAACATACTTTTCACTATGCCTCTTGGTGGTCCCTGAAATTTTTGGATTTTTCCTGCATAAATTAAAATACATGTCATGTATCCAAAAATACCCCAAAAGACCAAAATAAGCATTTTAAAACTTTTTCGACTAATTTTAAGGTTCTGGCATGGCGCCGCCGCTATGCTCCAACGTTGGTTCCCTCTCCCACAGTGATAATTTGCCTCAATCTAGCCATTTTCAGTTGGTTTAGTATAGTTTTGGCCGGGTTTGCATGTAATCTTGTGAAAAAAAAAGTTAGAAGGCCTCAGTCAACCAAAAAAGACAAAAAACCAAAACCCTACTAGCATAAGGTCTCTAAGTGCGATGTTTCTGCCGTTCCTCCTTCGCAGCCGAGATTTCCCTTCGGCTAACTTAAATAAAAAATA